AGATTTTTGTAAACAAGATGGATCTTTGTGTAAGTATTGTAACAATTAGAGAAATACGTATTATTCTAAAGCAAAAAAACAATGCAATACTATTGTTTAAATAACACCTCTATGTAAAGATGATGTTGACTCAGTATACTGAACGGTGATGGGCAAAAAGTTTTGGTGTAGTGCAAAAGGTTTTAACCATCAACAAAATGATAATATTATAAGGGGCCACAAAAAAATTTTTTTTACGTTACCTCTTAAGAACGCCATAACGATTAAGCAGCCCAAAAATTGTTTTGCTCACCAAAATGTCATCGTTTATATGTATGGCGGTTGTTTATGTCGATGACGACCATGTCGGTTAATGGCGGTAATGTTACTGCTGATGGTGATGGCAACGATAGTATTGGTATTGGGTATTGGCCAGGTCACTAACAAAGCGTTATTTGTTTAGATATAAACCGGTCAAAAACAGTCGTTTTTGTTTCTGTATTGTTTTGCTTTTCTTTTCGCAAATTTTTTATTGGGTATATGTGCGTAATACAACCAAAACCATCAAAGAATAACTCCTTCCTTTGTTATTTGTAACTTTTTATTGGGTTTCAAATTTTTTCATCAACCTCCTTCCCCCCTCCCCCCCTATTTTGTCGTCTCTCTTTGAGCTGTTATTCTGTTTGACCGCTGTGCATACTCCATTCCAAAACTGTTTATGATCCTGGTGGAGGATGCATGTGTAACGGTTGAATAACGGACAATTTAGGGCATTTGACCTGTAGATGCTCTTCGACTGCGGTTTGAGACATTCCATTTTCTCCATTTTGGACAATTCGACATAAGCTAGGGTCCAGTTGGTACACCTGTGAATTTTATAGGTTTCACTAGACAGTTAATGAGTAGTAAGGGGGTTATCTGTACTTCTTAAACCTTCCATTAATCGAATACATAAGAAAAGAAGAAGAAGAAGAAGAGGAAGAAGAAGGAAAGTGCACTTGGTGAAATGTTGTCATCGTTTGTTTTTTCTACAGATGGTTCTAGTTTGTTTTTATTATCCCTTTGCTATTTTCCTTAATCTACTGTTCAAAAGCGTCTTAACACTGCTTTCTCCTCTTTTTCAACAGCAGCCTTCTTCTACACTCAAATACTTCTTTGCAACAATACAAATTTTGTTCAGTCATCGTCAGATTTAACAGAAGATTATTAAAAACCTAGACGAAATTTAATTCGTTATTTTAGAAACTATTACGGAACTTTTATTTTAATGTGCATTAACTTTGATTTTAACGGTTTTAAACGCATTGACAGACCTTCAAACTTTAGTCTATATCACTCGTTAAGAAAAAAGGATTGGTTGGAGAGAAACTGTATAAATATCTGAGAAATATGGTATTTTTATAGAATTATTATCATGACAAATGCTTTTCCAGCAGTGATAAATTATAATCAAGTTTCAGTACAATTATTGGTAACAAAAAGTAAATAGCATTAATTGATAGTTTGAATGGCTGTAATCGATGTTACTCTGACTTTGATGCAGAGGTCTAAAAAAACCAAGGGTGGAATTAAGCACTTGTCTAATATCTTAGAATTTTAACGAAACGAATCATTGGCCTTTCAAAAAAAAGAAAAAAAAAAGTCGAAATCAATAAGCAGTTTGCAAAATTTCAGACCTCAACGATGGAAATTCATAATCAGACCAGAGGCTTTTTCTATACGACAACAACAACGACAAAGCCAAAAATTGAGGTTACTAATTCGTTGTTTGCTTTTTTTTAGTCCACGATTTTCTTCTGCTTTCTTTTGATTCTGTTTGGAAAGGTTTTGTATAATTATTTGTTTTAAGGTTTTGTGTAATTATTGTTTCTTAAAAAGTCTGAGAATTGTTTTTGCACTTTTTTTGACGTTGAATTTTTTTAATCATCCATCAAAAACCAAAAATCAGTTTACATAGATTACAGCAAAAAACATTTTATAGTTACAATAAGCAGAATTTTAAATTTCTTTTAGGCGGGAACGGCTAGTGATTGTACGAGTTTTAGTCATTTTATTGAAGTAACTTTAAACTAAATTGTAAAATTTGAATTTGGAGATTATTTTTAAACGGATGAAAGCAATCACTTGTTTTAGTACACCATTCTGACGATTGATAGTGGTGATTATCCATTCACGCTTCACGTCATTTCCGTTCACCGTACTATAACAGAAAATTATTGTTAACCGACAGTTGAAGTTTCACTTAAGAACTGTCTTTGACATAAATTTTATCTAAATTATTAGTCAATTCTTATACCGTAAACAAAAATAAAACTTTTTGCTTCTCTTTTCATCGAGAGACTTTTGAAGAGTGATCTTGGCAGGCATTTAGCCTAAAATCACCAACAAAAATTCCGCAGCAGATGGCTGTTTGAAACAGCTTAATTTTTTGGAAGGGTGACGGGTGGTGTTAAAATTTTATGTCTCAAATGAAAGGGCAGGTTACAAATTGAATTTTTTAGCGTTTTCGCTATGAATGGAAACTTGAAAAGTTTTCAAAATTTCATCAGTCAAATGTTGAAACATTTATTGCTCTATGCCGTGGCGAAAAACGTTATAAATGGTTCCTTAAACTGTATCCAAAACATCAACAAACAGTTGGTGCTAAAGCAGTTGAGTTTGGTCCAAAATATGTGCTGATTAACCTGTATAAACATGAAGATGAGGAGGCTACATGGAACGAGAGTGATGGGTATCGGGCAAAGTACGTTTGTATTCGTTATTGTTCATCTAGTTGGCCATTTTTCAGTCGTAAAAATTTCTTGAATTTTGTTCTATAAATTTTTGGTGGGGATGGTGAGGCTTTTTTTGGTTTGGCTCTCTTGTGGTCATGCAAGCAGCTACATTTGGCTTCATTCTTTTAGGATTTCTTTGGTGGCTGGAAATTCAAATCGTGTTCTTGGCGGTACAAAATCGATGTCATCAAGGACAGCATTTGGTTTGATTGCAAGCCGTGACGCTGTATTAAAAGCAATTTTACCAACCGATCAACTGATTGTTCGAGTTGACTTTGAAATCGTTGTGGAAACACAGTCGATATGTTCCTTTGTTTCAAAGACTGTTGAACAGGTGGAAGTTGTAAAATGAAAAAATAAATAATGGCTTATTTTTCTTTCTACTTGTAAAAAAATAGGGATAATTCTGGAGGCTTTTTTTTAATTTTAATAATAGAAACAATTTTTTTTGTTATTTTCGCTTCTTTCCCTTTTTTTTTTTTTTAAAAAAACCTTAAGGAATACTGTTATCTTTGTTTTAGTGCAGCTCCAAAAAACGGCAAAATACTTATTTTTGTGATAATTTAGGGTTCAGAAAATGCAGTGAGAAAATCTACAGACAGTATCCAAAAAAGAAAAGACGTTGACGAAGACAGTGATTTCTGTGTGCTTTCAACACCATCAAAAGGTAGCTGCGGTAATACCAGTGGTGCTGCTGGCGTTGGTATTGGTGCTGACGATGGAGCTGTTTCGGAAGAAGATAGCGATGACGACTGGGTGGTTGCTGATGTCGCCGAAACAATCACTGCAACACCAGAAGTTGTGCTAGAAAAATTTAATGGTAACAACTTTCTTTCCTTTTCATTTCTGTTGTTTAATCACTTTTTTTTTGTTAAATGTTTATTTTGGGAAATTGCTTCAAAAGGAAAAAGTGGAAAAAAAAGGGTATGTATGAGGGAAACGACGTATAATTGGAATTGATCTAGAAATTTTCTGTCACTTTTGTGGTAAAACTTATATCTTATTAATGGGAGGTTATGACAGTTTAGGGT